TCTCTTGGGACAAACAAATTGAAAATAAACCGGAAACACCTCAAGGAATTTAATGTAGGGCGCCACTTAAGGTGCCTAATTATGCCTATTACAAACACTAGTTGTAATCGGAAAATAATTATTTGAACTGCAAAACATATATTTTTGAAATTAAACTCAAAAAGGGTCAATTAAAAAATAAACAAAATGTTAAGAAAGAAAAAAAATTTAACATTTATTTTTGTGTCAAAACAAACAGTTGCAATAATAGGACAACGCAAAAAATATTACCTCAAATATACAAAATACAAAAATACAAAAAAAAACTTACATGTGTCATCTGTTTACAAACTCTTTTGCTACAAAACTAACAAAATTGTATGGAGGTTAACCTTTTTTTTAACAAAACAAATCAATATCAAAAATACTAAAACGAGCCGGTATAAATTAACATTAAATTTAAAACAATAATTAAGATAACAGCTAAAGTTAAAATCTAAAGTTTACAATACTTTAATTATTAAAAATTTAAATTGTTACAAAAGCAATTATTGATGGAAAATGTCTATTTTTGCTTTAAAAAGTTCAACAAAAAAATTACCTGATTTTCACTAAATGTTATTTATCCTTTAAAAGTTAAAAGTTCTGGGGTTGGAACTAGACTCAAAACTTACTGCAAAACAACAAATGCATCTCAAAAACTGTGAAGATAGTCTGGAATGACCGGGGACAAATGAAATGAGGATGGAAGCTGGGCACTGGGACGCAGTCTTCAAATCTTGGGTATGTGGGTATCTTTTAAACTTATTTGGAACGCCGTCCTACAACACGGCACGAAAACAAAACAGTGATTACTCTGACAAAACTTGACATATTACATCTGAGTATAATTCACGTTTTTACAAACAAATTTGCCGGTTTATTCAGGCGACCCACGCCGCGTCTTGTTTCTTCAAAATCTTTTTCCAACCTCCTCACCTTCGTTCGATTTCAAACCAAAAACGGAAAATAATCCCCCTCCTGACCTAAATTTAATATCGGTGTAGGCGACCCTCTTTCTAAACGATAAAAACAACTTTTTAAATATTCCAGTTTATTGCGTTTTAACGACGAAAGACAAATAAAAACTCTTTTTTATATTAGGGGGGCATCATGAAATATAATCCCTTTATGCGACAAAAAACTTGTCGAAATAGATGTAACATAATACAAATTAACAAAATAGCACGTAGTTTTTAAACCGGAGTTCTACCTGACTTTGTAACAAAAGGTTATGGGATTTGACAGTACACATAGACAAAAAAAAAATATATCCAGCGTTATTTACGCATTTAAGATTTTCGTAAAAGACAAACACAGATTTTATGGCAATCTTTATGCGTACTGACGAGATAAACGAACAGGGACGTATTATAAAATTTAAAACGCGACAAGATAACCACGAACCATGTGATGTGCTTAATTATGAGATAAAATAAAATTCCCAATTTCAGAAAAATATTAAATCAAACTTTATAACTTCCATATCTATGTCTTCTTCTTATATACTATGAAAAATGAAAGTACACATATCCGTTAACACATCAAAAGGCTTAAATACATTTAGTTAAAAACCAATTCAGTACGAGTAACATGCAACCTTAGAAAACACCCTATATTCTCGAAAGCAACATGGACTCAAGTTACCTTAGTTAAATCTGAATAAAAACAGATTGCTTATACATCTCAGGTCTTACGTTGAGACTAATAACATAATATGGTGAGATTGACGTCTCAGATATTTGACTACGGTTTAAATCAAATGAAGTTGATACTTTGTTCTTGATTATTCTGTATAAGTAAGTGAAACGAAAAGTTTGTAAATATTACATGTCGTTAGGTTTACCGTTACTTTTTTAAGTAAATAAGAAAGTTTTTTAATATCATTTATTCGCTATTACTGTTACTGCATTGCCAAATCATCCAAATTTATGAAGATAAATTTTCAAATCAACAAGCATGTTTAAGGTGTTTTTCAATTTCAATGGCTTCACGAATAATTCTGGATTTTAAAGAGAATACGGGAGCGATGGCTTTTGCTTTTTAGAAATCTATTTTGTGGCCTGTGTGAATATGATGTTGGGCTAGAAAGTAATATCGAAATGTTTGACAGATGTAGAATGTTCGTAAATACGGTTATGGATTTTGGTCTATTTAATCTGATGAGATTGGACAACTTAGAATAAGTAGTGAAGATGGTTTTGATGTTTAAAGGGTTAAGAATTTTACTGATCGTATCAGTGACATCATCATATAACGGGAATCCTACGGCGATTGCCGCTTCCCGCATTTCAGCCTCCGTCTTTTCCTATCTCTATAATCTCCCTCTTCTAAGCCTCTAGATTGCATTGTTTTTGTAATTTCTTTTCTTCAGGAATTTGGTGGTCTTCCTCTTTTCCTTCTTTCTGGCGGAACATACATTAAGGCTTTCTTTGGCCACCGCTCCTCCTCCATTTTCATCACGTGACCATACTATTGTAATTGCCTTCCTTGTATTCTATCTGAAAGAGTATCTCTAATTCCTGTACGGTTTTGTCCTGTATTTCCTCATTCCTGATTCTTTCCATTCTCGATACTCGACATGACCTTCTAAGATAATCCATTTCCACAACGTCTACTTTATCTCGTTCATTCTTTGTCATCGTCCAACATTCGGCACCATATGTGGTAATCGGTTCTACAATTGCTCTGTATACACGAAGTTTGGTATGCATCTTTATTTTATCAGACCACAGTAATGAATTCAGTATTCGGATGCATTTTTTTCCCTTGGGTTATTCGGTTTTGTACATCTATTTTAACTCTGCCATCTGCTGATAGGATGCTTCCTAGATATTTATACTGGTTGCAACCTTTCATGACTGCGTTTTCAAGCCTCAGATCTGTGGTATTTCCTCCAATTTTTAAAAATTCTGATTTGCTTATGTTTACAGTAAGCCCCCATTTGGCATATTCCTCAAATAATTTTCGATTCAAATAATTTATATCTTCCTCATCGGTTGCAACCACCACCTGATCATCTGCAAACAACAATGTATACAGGGTTTCTTGTCCCACTTCGATGCCCATAAATCTACATTTATTTCTCCAATTCCTCAATGCTTCTTGGACGTATATTTTAAAGAGTGTCGGTGACAAACAGCATCCTTGCTTTAGGCTTTTAGTGACTCTAAATTCATTTGAAGCTCTGGTTCGAATTTTTACACAACTAACTGCATTTTCGTACAATTTATATATCGCTCGGATATACGTCTAATTTAATCCGGACCTTTCGAGGACCTCAAACATTTTCCTTAACGGGACACTATCATATGCTTTCTCAAGGTCTATAAATACCAAATGGGTCTCTCTACTTCTTCCGACACGCTTTTTAATTATTTGTCGTAGGATAAATATATTATCAAGGCAGGATTTCCCGGTACGAAAGCCGCTTTGTTCTTCAATATCTTGTATCTGTCTTTCAACCCTCTTCTTTAATATTCTGCCGTACAACCGACCCACAGAGCTCGTCACACTAATACCTCTATAATTGGAACAGTCTCTTTTATTCCCTCTCTTATATATGGAGCTTATATAAGATTTATTCCATATGTTTATTATCAGTTACACCTTTAATAAAAAGTAAAAAGATGTTGGGTTGATCAGGCGACAAGGTTTTCTTGGATGGAGTGGAGTTTAGATGATTTTGAATGCTCCTATTGATTTGGGTTTTATGGGAGCCGTTTTGTAAGAGTGTTTGCCTTCTTGAATTGATTTCGGATGGTCTGTGATTGTTGTTGCCAAGTCTTATGGAATTGGAAACAAGTGTTGATAGCTGAATTAAGTTGGGTGGAGTAATAATGTGACTGAACATTGAGATAACGGTTTGTCTGGGTGTGTTTCCTGTACATGGAATAGGAATGACTGCGAGGTGGGTATTTTTGAGTACGAACATCAAGGAATGGCAAAGACACTTTATACTCAACTTTTATCGTAAATTGAATACTGATGTGTATTCTATTCAGGTGCGAAAAAAAGAGATCTAATATGTCTTTACCATGGGGCCAAACGACAAAAGTGTCATCAACTGTAATAAAGAAACAATGTCAAAACTAATTAGTATATCTGAGGGTGAAATAGAAATATTTTTCAGAAGATCAATAAAATGAAAAGAGTGTTTCTTTTTAGTTTGTATTGTTTTGACGCAAACTTGAGAGAGAATAAAAAAAAAATTATTCTTGTGTACATAGACGTTGGTTACAAAGGATCCGACAGCAAATGAGGAACGAGAAACAGTCTTTGGAAGTCATACCTTTGAACGTGTTGACAACTTCACATACCTTGGGTCGCTATTGACTGCTACCAATAAAACAAGCGAAGAAATCAAAAGACGAATAAATCTTACAAATAGAGCATACTATGGACTCCAAAAGCATTTCCACTCAAGAAACATTCAAAGAAGAACTAAAATTATTATATACAAAACATTGCTGAGGCCGGTCCTCACATATGGAGCAGAAACATGGACATTAACGCAGAAAGATGAAAGACTTTTGGGAATATTTGAGCGTAAAATACTCCGCAAAATATTTGGAGCTGCAAACGACCAAGGGCAGTGGCGCAGAAGATATAATTTTGAATTGTATCAGCTCTTTGATGAGCCAGATGTCATAACGTTCATTAAAACACAGCGACTTAGATGGGCTGGACACATAATACGAATGCCAGAAAATACCATTGCTAAAAAGCTAACCACAGGAACACCTGTAGGAACAAGAAGCAAAGGCCGACCGCGAATTAGGTGGTTAGATGGAGTAGAAACCGACTTACGAATATTAAAAATCAGAAGATGGCAACATGTTGCCAAAAACCGAACAGAATGGCGACGAATCTTAGAGCAGGCCAAGATCCACAGAGGATTGTCGAGCCAAAGATGATGATGATGACATAGACGTTACTTTGTTATTTACATAAAACTACACTAAAATTAAACTTATACTTACAAAATCTCCAAATCTTTCATGGTTCGCAAGGCGTTGTCGTCGATACATGTTAATTGATTGTTGTCAACTTGCCTGAAAAAAAAAATACTCTTTTTAATATCATATTCATTATGACTGAATATAGTAAAAATTATTATCAGTTTGTATTAACTGAAATCAAATCAATGCATATATTCATTTAAACATCAATATGATATGTAAATCTAAAAATATAACTTTTAGTATATTCATAAAAATTCGTAGTTTTAATGCAAAGACAAAAAAAAGTATTACTAATAAAAAATGAAATTTCGTCCATATTTCCTTTAAAAAGAAAATCAATTTCCGGTTGTACACCTGGAGTATAGTAACAATATTGTATGACATTTTTCCGGAAGATCTCTTTGGATTGTTCCGGCGTAATATTGCAGCTATAACACTGTTTCAAATAACTAGTATTAATACACAATAGTTCAGAGGAACCACTGCTGGACATAAGTCACTCTCAGCTCTTTTCATCTGTCTCTGTTTTGTGCGGCTTGCATTCAGTTAATGCTAACATGCTTTAGGTCATCAGTCCATCTAGTTGGTGGGCATCCCCTGCTCCATATTACTTCTTGTTTTGCTCTCCACTCGATAATACGTTTTATCCATCGATTGTCTGATAGCTTGGGGACGTGTCCTGTCCAATTCCATTTTAGCGACGCGATTTTTTCGATAGCGTCTGTTATTTTTGTTCTAAGACGTATTTTTTCGTTTTTAATTCGGGAGTTGGGTCTCTTAGAGAAACACACACCATCTGGCGCTCCCTAGCTTTATGCGTCACGTAAATCTTATTCACTGCCTTTTTTGTGTGTGGTAATATTTCCGATTCATAAGTGAGTACAGATAACACACATTGTTCAAAGATTTGCTTGTATATGTCTGGTTAGTATATCTTCATACAGGTCGTTGTTTTCTGGTGGAATCAATTTCTTTTTTCTTGCTTTTAGGATCATCTTTGCTTTTTCCAATTTGACATTTAATAGTGTCCTTTTCATGTTACGTCAAAAGTCAAAAGTTTTCATGTTACGTCAGAAATCTTGGTTTTGTGTTTATCGTGATTCAAAAAACGTAAGTCTGTAATGAACTGTTTTCCATTTTTTTCTGCTGTAGTTCAATTATAGTAAAAATTGGTTTGATTATGTAAGAATATTACCCCTCTGTCGTGCCCAGCACACTTGTTAGATCACCCGAATATCACCCGAATAAGATTTAACCGTAAAATAGTTTCGAAACACAATTCAAATTTCTGCTATGAAATTATAATTAATATATTATATAAATATATATGCTTTCTAAAAATTTCAAAGCAAAACAGACATTGATAAAGGTGTTAAAAGGGACGTGATGAATCTAAAATTTGCATTCCACGACACGTCTTTTCAATTAAGCAGATATCCTTAGCGAATTGGTTTCTAGTACTTGTACAGAGTAGATCCAAATAAAGTGAAAAGACAGCAAATAGACAGATGTCGCTATTGCGTCCGTATCAAAGCCATTTTAGTGTTGCTTCTTAAAAGACAGAAAATATTGATCTTTCACGTTGAGAACACCTTTGAATAACTGTTCTGATGAAACCTATTAGGTCGAAATACGTATCAACAGATACAAAGGCGCTGTTTGCGTGAAATCAAGTATTTGCTGTCTTTTCACTTTAATTGAAAGATTTGTTTTAAGTGTTAAAGTGACTCTATCTGATATGGAGTAAGAGATCTGACCCCCATGAAAAAATATGATTGTCAAGTAAAAAATTAATTGTTATTAAAATATAATATTGATTAAAAATAAAAAAAAAAATAATACTCACAAATTTTTTAATGACTGTATCCCACGAAAAGTCTTCTTGCCAAGCACACTGATTTGGTTGTGGCTAAGATCCCTATAAACCAAGATATTTTAAATAAAGATTCTTATTTCATGTATGTATATTTCTAAATTTCCCAAATACCAAGTACATTAGTTAATTTAAAATAAGCAAGTGTATTTACTATATATACAATATTAGTTTTGATTTCTCAGTTAGGCAATAACATTTCTACGACAGTTTCGTGAAATTAATAAAATATAAAATAAAAATTTATTATGAGTACAACCAGGTATGGTAAATTTTAAACATATACTGGATTTTTATGCTTTTTCAGTAAAATTGTCAGTTTTTCATATAACTGACCGGTCTCACCTTTAGTATTCAAAATCAAATAGTGATTTAACATTGTTAATATATTGTTTATAAGTAAAAAAATACTACGTTTAATCATTTGCATATTTTGTTTATCACATAATGTTATCACCAAACTTATTAAAGCAGTTTTTAGGTTACTGTATCAAAGAGTGTCTAGGGAAAATCGTGACTTCCCTGATCTGTTGGTTCTGACTATCAGAAATATAAAAGTTGATCCACCACAGAAAAACTGTTGAAGAGTCACGTTGTAGTGTACAATAAACAAATTATAAATTACTATTTTTACATACAGGTTAGGTAAAATAAGCAGCGAATTTTTCAGACTGTCGTAGAATTATGTAAATATTTTTAGTAGATAAATTATAGAAATATATTAATTAAAAAGAAATACTACGAACTAAAAGTGAGATAATATTCAATTTAATGTATTTTAATATGTAATCAGTAGTGAAAATTTATGAAGAATCATTAAATATGAGTTATGAAAGATGTCATGGATGTTATTATTAAGAAGAAGATTTAAGCAGTGCGAAGACAAATCAGTACTAAAGATAGATACGTAGCCCAGTTATTTTAATTACTTCGTATGCCAATATTTTTCCAAGAAATAAATTTGATTGCGTTATTTTAAAAATTAACAAGTAATATCTTTTGTACTGAAACAGCTTGTAGCATGTAATGAATAAAGTAAGGGAGAGACTGTTCTAAGACACCACTTACAGCAAAAACGAGTATAGTACAACACTGTCCATTTTAAAATTTTCATTATTTTTAGAGTTGATTTCAATTTGTATTGTTAATATTTTTCTAATTCATAAATAATTTTAATTTTCATCTTAAATCATTTTGTAAACATATTTCTAGAAGATGTTAAGGAAATATAATATAAAAAATGTTTTTTATATTACACCAAAAAAGAAACTTTTAATTATTTTTTTCGCAAACCTAATAGAAAAGCCTAATTATACTATACAAATAATGGGAAGGCCTTTTCTTCTTTTATACAAGAAGAACTGGAATCATTTATTGGTTTGCTTATTATTTTGGGATCCTGCCACAAGATCCAACTTTATGTCGTCATGTAGTATCATCTACCATGTCTCGCAAAAGATTCCAACGGATTATATGCTTCCTAAGATATTGCTTTTCGACAATTTTAAAACAAGAGAAGATGAAATACGCATTGATAAATTTAAAACAACCAGAGATGTCTTTGATGGTTTTGTATCAAGAAATATTTGAATCCATCTGAATACTTTTGTGCGGAGATGGACAGTTAGTCCCATTTCGAGGCAAGACTTCTTTTCAGCTTTACATGAAAAGTAAGCTGGACAAATACGGTTTAAAGATTTGGGAAATGGCTGATCTTATTTTGGCATATACAGCCATTATGTAAATTTATTTAGGTAATCTATTTCATAAAACATATCATAAAATTTATAGTTTTAGATTTTTTTAGATAACTTTTTTACCAGCATTGAGAAGATAAGCTTCTAGATAAAAATATAACATTGAGTGGAATACTACCCAAAAATAAACCTTATATTCCAAAAAAACTACTTCGAACACGATCTAAAAACGACTTTTTAAGCATATTTACTTTAATGTAACATAAAACCCTAGTTTCTTATGTTCACAAGAAATATGCAGCAGTTATTTTCTGGACAGAACATTAAAATAGGTGGAAACAGATTACAGAGTGAATAATATCAAGTAACGCTACAATAAAATAAAGGATGCAGTGGATGCAATTGATAAAGTGACAAAATAGTCCACGACTTAGAGAAAAAGTAACCGGTGGCATGGCAATATATTTTTATCTACTGGACATAATCGCTTATCAACTTTAGATGTTCAAAATCCAGATTGGAAAATTAATCTTTTAGACAGAAAAAAATTGTTTTTATTGTAGTTAGGCCAACAATTAATTAGGAAGGTACCAAAATGACAAGTCTTGCATTTCAATGTAAAACAATTCATGTTAATTATTTTGAAAGAATTAATCTTAAGAAATGAACAACTTGTTTCGGTTATTGCCAGACAGCAGCGATGTTTTTTATGCGCCAGAAGTAAAGACAGGAAATCTCGAAAGATTTTTATTTGATGCAATAATCCATAAGTATGTGCAAAACATTCAAAACATATAACAGTTTGTGACATGTGATAATTAAATTATTTTTTAAAATGTCACAGCTCCAGTTTAGTCTAATTATTTTTCTTGATTTTATATCATTTCATATTATTTTTTCAAATTTATAATGTTTACATCATATTAAAAATATATTTTGATATGTACTCCTTTTTGACATTTCGTATGTTTTTCGGATGTTTTTTATGCGCCAGTAGTAAAGACAGGAAATCTCGAAAGATTTTTATTTGATGCAATAATCCATAAGTATGTGCAAAACATTCAAAACATATAACAGTTTGTGACATGTGATAATTAAATTATTTTTTAAAATGTCACAGCTCCAGTTTAGTCTAATTATTTTTCTTGATTTTATATCATTTCATATTATTTTTTCAAATTTATAATGTTTACATCATATTAAAAATATATTTTGATATGTACTCCTTTTTGACATTTCGTAATTATAAAAAAAATATATTAAGCCAAAACGGTTGTAGTAGATATGCTAATTCCTCGGTAATTCATGTAAGTTTTTGACCATGGGTTATATATTATATAATCATGACCCATAAAGGTTGATATCAGTTAAACAACTGAAAATAAAATAAAAATGATATATTGGCGAATGCACCAGAAATATTAACAAAATGGCGAGCGCCTCCGGCAAAATTTTGATTTCTAACAAATTTTTTAACACTAGTTTTAATAAATTTTTCTTTTTCTCTCTTGTAATAACAATTTTTTGTATAAACCGCAAATTACTGTCAGATTATCTAGACAGTCATTGTTGCTGTTGTATTCTTAAAACGTATGTTTTATATAGTATATTTTCTGCACTAATAAAGGTTCCTGTCGATTTTTTATTTTAAATATAGTATTGCCCAAAATAAACAGTACTGAAACGGAAACATAGATGTCTCTTTGTCACGTAATCCTTATATAATTAATTATTAAGGCCTAATTGTTAAAAATAGTGTTAAGTACAGAGAAGAAAGTGTTTCTTGTGGAGCATTATTTTCGCTCATACGGATTGGCCGACGTAATAGTCAAAGTCTGCGATACGTCTGTGATCAATTCACACAACGGTTTAATAAACGTTCTTCAGTAATGCTATAATTTTGAAATTATAGGTTGCTGAAAAGTTCGAACAGTAGAAATACGGGTTGCTGAAAAGTTCGAACAGTAGAAATACGGGTAATGTATTGTGTCAACGAAAAGAAAACTCAGGGCGTCGTAGGACGGTTAACAATAACGATAACCATGAACGTATTTTTGAGCGAATCTTGGAAAATCCGAATTCTAGCCAGACAAGAACAGCGTTGCATCTTGGCTTAAAACGAACTTACTTGCAAAGAATCCTGAAAGAGCTGGGTGAATTTTCGTATGTGATTCAGGTACATCAACAATTACATCCCAGGGATTATCACAGTAGAGTGGAATAGACGAAGCACATTTTCATTTGACAGGCCATGTAAATCGTCGCACAAATCGATTTAAGGGCTTTGCTGTAGATGAACTTCAATAAGTTCTTTTACATAGCGCAAAAGTGAATGTCTGGTGTACAGTTTCGCGACACGGAATCATTGGTCCATACTTTATCGAAGAAAATGGTAGCCAAGTTACACTTAATCAACAGAGGTACATACAAATTTTAACTTGCTTTATCCCTGATCTACGTCAATTTTGTCGTGCACATAATTTGGCATTTCGAGACAAATTATTTCAACAGGATGGGACACCTTGCCATACTGCTGGCGCAGTTCGTCAACTTCTTCAGGGACATTTGCCAAACAAATTAATTTCACGATTTATTGACTTTTCCTATCCTGCACATTCTTCAGACTTAACATCTCCAGACGCATACATTTGGGGCATGGCTAAAACTGCCGTTTTTAAACAGACACCACAAAACATCAATGAGTTAAAGAGTAATGTTAGAGCCTTCTTCGCGGATTTGAGACAACTTTTATTTTATGATATTACGAGAAATCTGGAATATCGGTATGAAGTCTGTCTTGAGAGAGGAGAAGCTCATTTAGAACATGTTATGAAGTGTCAATAATATGTATTTTTTAAAATAATAAAACAAAAATGAAGAATTTAGTTTAAATAAAAACACTAATCAGTTTATCAAAATAACTGGAAAAAGGTTTTATTTTTGTTATATCGATTTAATTGTACACACTACACTTCTACATAATTACAATAAAATAAAAATATTAAATTAATTGTCCAATTAATATTTTATAATTTATCTCATTTTCCTCAGAAATTCAAATTGTAGGTTTAAATGTATTTAAAAATAAAACAGTTTACTATCTATTTTTATCAAATATAATTCTAATTTTGAACCGTTAAAAATTATATTCTTTTAAATAGCGAAACATAAGTAAAACCTAATTTGTTTGCTTTTTTTATACATGGGCATATACAGTGTGTAAAAGCTAAATGGAATAAATTCATTATTTAGGTTACATATTTATAAAATTTTGTGACATTCTTTAATGTGAAAATGCAACCCCTACCTTCAACCCCCTTAGAATGACAGGTACAACCCCCAATTTTTAAAATAGGAAGTATAGGCTTGTGATATATCGTTTGAAAGGTCTTTTCATTCTCCATTCACAAATGTTGTCATTTCAAGTTTATTAAGATTAATTAAGATAAAATAAATTAAAATCATGTGGTTACCGAAATTCGCTAAAATATACTAAAAACTTATTTCCCGTTTAGGTCTTCATAATGAGAAAGTGAACAAAAACCATAGCAATGTGGTTTTTAGATGGTAACCATTAAAATACTTTAGAATTTCCGTGGCAACGTTATTTTAACACGCATTAGTAAATTGTTTTATTTAAGTTGTCAGTATTTTAATTTAAGTAAAAATTTCGTTCAATTCAATTCTGAAAAATGGTTAGATTAACGGAAATGCATAAAATAACAGTTTTACAAATGATTGGTTACGGAGATAACACCCAAACACAACAGGAAGTAACTCGCCTATTTCATGAGAAATTTTCTAATTTACCGCCTATATCCCAAGGAACAATAAGTAAAATAGAGAAGCAGTTTCGCGAGTTTGGTCATGTAAGGCAGATAAAAAAAGCAGCTGCCAATGCACTGAGTGATGAACTCAAATTAGATGTGTTGCTTGAGTTTCAGGAAAATCCACATACATCAAGTAGACAGATATCCACTACATTCAATCCTAGCCATACATCGATAGTAAACATATTAAAAGAAAATAAATTGCATCCCTATAAGATGATACCTACTCAGGAGCTCATGGAAGACAATTTTTATAAGAGAACTTTTTTTTGTGAGCAAATGATGGACATGTTGGATAACAATATTATCCAATTAGAAGACGTTATGCTTTCTGATGAATGTACTTTTTCAATTAACGGTCATGGTAATCGGCAAAATTTCCACTACTGGGCCACGGAAAATCCTCACTGGATGAGAGAAGAACACACTCAATACCCTCAAAAGGTTAATGTTTGGGCAGGGATTGTAGGAAACAATATCATTGGTCCCTTTTTCATTGAGGGCAACTTGAATGGCAACAATTATTTGGCACTACTTCAAAATGATGTCATTTCAACGTTGGCAAATTTATAT